TCAGGATAGATAATGATAAGAGTAAAATAAAGAACAGAGTAGCAGTAGCAAATGATGAGTGTAAAAGTGTGTCCCGTAGCTCAATCAAAATAAAGAGCAGGCCATTTAGGGTGAGTTACAAAGTGGTGCTTCACTGAGAGAGCCCCTGACCTGAGCTCTCATGTCACCGTACCAATATAAAACTATCAAATTGTCAGTAGACCAATTACAAGCCATCACCCTGTCAATTGACCAATCACAAGCCATCACCCTGTCAGAAGCTCAATCAAAATACACCACCCTTTCATTTGACCAATTACACCCATGGCACTGACAATGCTCCCATAAAGCTGTTAATTATTTTCTGCGTTGTGGTTACAGGTTCCAGACCTTTTTTTGCTCCTGACCTTAGAAATAAATACATAAATACCTTTTTTTCCATTATGGATAGTAAATGTAAATCACAGAATACATTGCCTGTTGCCTTAAGGCAACTTTGCCTGTTGCACCGGACAGAAATAAACTTATTTTCATGCACCTCCGTCTTCATGCTGTCTTTTTATTACATAAGGTACTCCTCCTCTCATCCCCCAAACACTCAACCTCTACCAGCGTTTGGCTGGACTGTGTTCCTCCCACTATCTTTCAAGGGCGGTATCCTGATTTATTTGTTTTAGGAGACATAATTATTCTCTTTTACCTAGAATAGGATTGCATTTTACGTTTCTCTCCCCTCCCTCCCACTCTCTCCTCCTCTCCACCCCCCCCTTTCCCTCTCTTCTGTTCCAGCTCCCTCCACGAAAGCGCCGTGCTATCGCTCCACCGCAGAGAAAGCCAGGGATGAAAGACGAATCAAACCACCTTATTTCCCTCAGGCCTTCACGCCGTCGTGATTGAATTTGAGTTTTCTCATCTTCTTTCTCATCTTTTCTTTCCCCTCCCTCGCCCCAACCATCCATTGAAATACTTCTGAAGCCAGCCCCTTTCACAACTGGTGGGATTTGGTATCATTTGTGCATAAGGAATAAAGAAGAGAGCAGCACACACGTCTATCTACCAGTGCAAGACCTCTAACCCGATAATAATCATAAGCATAATCTACTGGTTTAGCCACACATCTTTAGCTTTGAGACTGAAGGTTATGCCACTGAAGTCAACATTGTTCTTTACTTAAGTTGTTATGGCAATAGTTGTAGTAGTGTCGCCATTGTATCAATGACTCGCCTTCCTTACTTTCCGTAGACAGAGTGGAACACTGATATGACATGCTGATCACTGACACCAGTTTTCTCCCAACAATTTGAATGCTAAAGAACATCCTATTGAATCGTAGGAATTTGGAAGGAATCTCTTTTAAATCTGGTATGAGAGTCGAGACCTGGTCAGGATGCTCCTTTCTACGTCGATGACTTTTACAGCCACTGACCCATGTGGAGCAAAAAAGCAGCTGGTTAAATGTGGCCTCTATGTATTGACTGTGGGCAAACACTGAGGCCAAACACAGATGCAGCTGTGCTAACACTGGGTCTAAGCAGGGCTGAGCTGGCCAGCCAGCACTCTGGTACCCCAGCCTGGCATCCTTCTGCTGGCTACTGAAGCATGAAGTGATGCCACTAATACCCTAACAGTTAGTTGGGCTGAAGGACCAGACAGGGATCTGGTTCTGCCTTTGTTGTGTCCTTGGCCCTAACTCACCACTGGATTTTATTTTTCCTTACAGCTTGGTTTTTATGAATGCTGTAGATGCACTGGCCATAGGTTGGAACCGATCTCATGGCTGCTTACCGATTCATGAGCGGCTCTTGAGCGAAGCGGTGAAACGTCTCTGCGACCTCAAATCAAAAGCGACGGGCGCACGAGCCAGCCTAAATGGGCCAATCTCGAAACCTGTAATCGCCAAAGAGGCATTTAGCGTTCAAGCCTTCGGGTGAAAGAGGGAACAAGGTGGGGGGGTGGGGGGAGGATGGGGAATCATTGGAGGAAGGAAAGACACCTGGCTGGAGTTTGACTTGGCTACCTAAGACAAATTATCTCTCCTACCCACACCCAGCTAACCCCCTCACAACCGCCCTTTTTCATTTTAATAGGGTTATAATTGTGCTAGCATATTTGTTGTCACCCACCATTAGCCAAGATGAATTAGGCCATTTCATTTAGCTTAAAGTGTCAGCCATGAGGAATGGCGCATGGGACCAAGACAGAGAGCTGGAATCAGCACAATCTGCTCCCTATCGCACGTCATCATCACGCGCTCTCTTATTGGGTTCATCATGACTTCTGCTGTAGTTTCAGAGTGACTAAGCTGTTAGACCGGCACATGTGTGTGTATTGCGTGTGTCTCCTGGTCCATTCACCTCTTGACTAGGATGTTATTTTAAAGGAGAAATTCTCATCGACTTCGCTATAGGGCTGACATGAAATGTTCTATGCTATGGTTTTTTCTAGTTGTCAAAGTTCTAGTCTAAGTGGTTCCACAGAAGGACAACTGTTGTACACATGGCCAACAGAAGTGTTATACATATGGCCAACATCATTTCTACATAGGTTACATACTGTAGCTGCTCAAGAATGAAGACTAGTACATTGGACTGGGGAAAACATGTTGGACTGGGGAAAAGAGAAAAATATATTCAGTAAGAGAATGTGATTATTAACGAAGAGCATTTCTTTCTAGGCCAGAAACTAACTACACACTCCCTTGAGTCTGGATCTGGACTATGTTCAAGACGAACAATGATCAACACTACTATTTAAGACTGGAATTGGGAGGTTGTTGTTGAAGTTTAATGATGTCAACTTTGTGGGAATATTTTGCTAATATACACTACCGGTCAAAAGTTTTAGAACACCTACTCATTTAACGGTTTTTCTTTATTTTTGTAGAATAATAGTGAAGACATCAAAACTATGAAATAAGACATATGGAATCATGTAGTAATCAAAAAAAGTTTTAAACAAATACAAATATATTTGAGATGCTTCAAATAGCCACCCTTTGACTTGATGACAGCTTTGCACACTCTTGGCATTCTCTCAACCAGCTTCATGAGGAATGCTTTTCCAAGAGTCTTGAAGGAGTTCCCACATATGCTGAGCACTTGTTGGCTGCTTTTCCTTCACTCTGTGGTCCGACTCATCCCAAACCATCTCAATTGGGTTGAGGTCAGGGGATTGTGGAGGCCAGGCCATCTGATGCAGCACTCCATCACTCTCCTCCTTGGTCAAATAGCCCTTACACAGCTTGGAGGTGTTACACAGCTTGTCCTGTTGAAAAACAAATGATAGTCCCACCAAGCTGTGGTAGCCATGCTGGTTAAGTGTGCCTTGAATTCTAAATAAATCAGACAGTGTCACCAGCAAAGCACCACCACACAATAACACCACCTCCTCCATGCTTTATGGTGAGAAATACACATGCGGAGATCATCCGTTCACCCACACCGCGTATCACAAAGACACGGCGGTTGGAACCAAAAATCTCACATTTGGACTCCAGACCAAAGGACACATTTCCACCAGTCTAATGTCCATTGCTCGTGTTTCTTGGCCCAAGCAAGTCTCTTCTTCTTCGGGTGGCCTATAGTAGTGGTTTCTTTGCAGCAATTCGACCATGAAGGCCTGATTCACACAGTCTCCTCTGAACAGTTGATGTTGAGATGTCTGTTACTTGAAGTCTGTGAAGCATTTATTTGGGCTGCAATTTCTGAGGCTGGTAAATCTAATGAACTTATCCTCTGCAGCAGAGGTAACTCTGGGTCTTTCATTCCTGTGGCGATCCTCATGAGAGCCAGTTTCATCATAGCGCTTGATGGTTTTTGTGACTGCACTTGAAGAATCTTTAAAAGTTCTTGAAATGTTCCGTATTGACTGACCTTCATGTCTTAAAGTAATGATGGACTGTCGTTTCTCTTTGCTTATTTGAGCTGTTCTTGCCATAATATGGACTTGGTCTTTTACCAAATAGGGGTATCTTCTGTATACCACCCCTACCTTGTCACAACACAACTGATTGGCTCAAATGCATTAAGAAGGAAATAAATTCCACAAATTAATTTTTAAGAAGGCACACCTGTTAATTGAAATACATTCCCGGTGACTACCTCATGAAGCTTGTTGAGAGAATGCCAAGAATGTGCAAAGCTGTCATCAAGGCAAAGGGTTGCTATTTGAATATTTTGATTTGTTTAACACTTTTTTGGTTACTATATTATTCCATATGTGTTATTTCATAGTTTTGATGTCTACACTATTATTCTACAATGTAGAACATAGTAAAAATAAAGACAAACCCTAACAATTCTACATCAATTTAACAGGTTCTGAAAACATAATTTTCCTCTTGGTATAATCCAGTTCTACTGTGTGTTGTTGATGTATGACTTAAAGATTTCAAGTATGATCTCAGTATAGATTCCAGGTCTTTCCATGGTGACTGATGGCTAGACACTGCATTCACTTGCAGAGAACCATCTCACACAAATACCATGTGCATGAACCCAATTCTGCTCACCTAGAAATCTATCGGCTTTGCTGTACAGTACAACTGTGCGTGTACTGTAGTGCATTTTCTACTGGAGGATAAATGGCTGTCTGTGTCATGCCCGACTAAAAGGCCTGTCCATGTCAATGGCTGTATATCTCCCGGCAGGCAGCTGGAAATGAGGTCTAATCGGACGGATATTAAAGTCACAATAGACTGCTCTCGACTATTATGGCCTGTCAGCACCGGGCCCCCTCTCCTCTCTCGCCCAGATTAGTATCTACCCCTGAATATTTATACACTCACCGTAGACTTAACCTGGCTGTGGGTATGGGTGTCTGTACATCTGAATATTTAGATTTTTTACACTTTCAGCAGCCCCTGCCCGTAGGGAAGGAACCCAGACATTTCCCCACACACTTTGTCCCCTCCTTTTATAGTTGTATGTGTTTGTGTCTTCAAATGTGCACGTGTGTTATTTGTGGTAGAGACATCTAGGTTGAGTTTGACTGACCATTCCTTCCTCTCGTGTTGTTCTCAGGTGGAGCCGGAGCTCGGCAGCCCCGGCCCCAGCAGAAGCTCTTCACCATGGATGTGGATGAAGAGGAGAACATGAGTGAGTCTGTCTCTCTTTGTCCAATTATCTGTCTGCCTGTGTCCATTTGTTCCCTTACCAGATCCCCTGCCTAAACAGACACGCACACAAAGGACATACACAAATGACACGCACCGCATATACATAAACTTCACTGCAGAACTACATCTTCCCACCACAACATCTTCAATAAATTCCTTGGATTCAACTTATATTGCTCTATGCACACCCTCTAAAAAAATGTCATCCTCCCTCTTCAAATTTAATTGGACATTTTGGGAGGAATCTGAGCCCTGAGCTCCAGCAGCCATGCCTGTGAATGAGTCTCTGCCCCCAGATCCCCACCACTCTGAACAGACAGAAGAAAATGGCTGCCTGGTCTATCCCAGGTTGAAATGGATGGTTGCCATTGTAGTTTCACATACCGGTTTCACACTGACAATGTCACCTTCATTACAATTGGTCAGTTTCTGTACATGTTTCTAAAACGCCGGCAACTGTCTCAAAGCAGAGGGGGACATTTCATGGAGTTTTGATACTGGGACTATTGTTGTTATTTATCTCCAGGTTAGTTAGACACTTTAAAGATCGCTACAAACATATTGCTTTGAGCAATGGACATTTGTAATTTACTTGAACACCAGGAGGAGTTATTCATATTTGTTTGTTCCTCAAGTATGCTCACTCTTTGCTCACATTCATACCAGCTGGATTCCAGTTTGAAAAACAGTGTTCGAAACATGCTCACTGACATTCTAAATACATTGAGAGACGCATATGCCTCAAAATAATATTTACATACTCCACTGAAATCGACAAGACATTTACGTTTTCTGTAGCTGTACTGAAATGAAAGTAATTAGGCCTAAATATTAATTGACTCATCAAAAGTCACCAATTTCACTGAGTGTACAAAACATTAAGAACACCTTCCTTATATTGAGTTGCCTTTTGTCCTCAAAACAGCCTCAATTCGTTGGGGCATGGACCCTACAATGTGTAAAAAAGCATTCCACAGGGATGCTGGCCCATGTTGACTCCAATGCTTCCTACAATTTTCAAATTGGCTGGATGTCCTTTGGGTGGTGGACCATTCTTGATACACACGGGAAACTGTTGAGTGTGAAAAACCCAGCAGCGTTTCAGTTCTTGACACAAACCGGTGCACCCTGACACCTACTACCATACCTTGTTCAAAGGCACTTAAATATTGAATCTTGCCCATTCACCCTTTGAATGGCACTCGTACACAATCCATGTCTCAAGGCTTAAAAATCCTCCTTTAACCTGTCTCCTCCCCTTCATCTACACTGATTTGAAGTGGATTTAACAAGTGACATCAATAAGGGATCATAGCTTTCACCTTGATTAACCTGGTCAGTCTATGTCATGGAAAGAGCAGGTGTTCTTAATGTTTTCTACACTGTCTATAATGGCAAAAGCCACTTCTTAATGTTACAGTATTCATGCCTTTTGGTTTTTCTCCTTTGTAGTTATTTCCCTTACATCCCCTTGTTAAGACTCCTTCTTGCCTGGCTTGTTGCATGGCTACCTCAGAGTCCACCAGCCTATTTTCAATGTGTCAGTGATACTCCCCAATTCAAGACCTCCTCCAGAAAGCACTCACACACATCCATGTTACACTAATGTATACATACTGTACCTTAAATCACACGAGGCAAATACAGATCTGAAAACTGTCTTGGGGAATCAACTACATCCAAAGTAAATGAAATCGTGTAAATTATGTTGTTTGAGTGGAACATCCTTTAATGCAAGTGCACATTATAAGGAGGGTTAGGGCTCCATATTAGTCTGGTTATATAAGAGACTACAATTTGGAAACACATGAGAGCAGGATTTTTTTGTCTTGCTTGTGGGATGTGCCCTCTATTTTAGTATGCAGAAACTTGACGAACATCAGCGCCTGTCAGAAGCTAAGGATTCTGTGTTGTTCAGAAGTTGATGGAAACCCCAACAGAGCCTCTGAAGAGCTCTGATCTCATGTAGTTTGAAAATGCATAGTTTGATATGTTTTTGAAAGTAGAGCTCTGTGTTACCAAGAAGCCAGTAATGGATATCAGATCAATTAGGTTGTCTAAAGATCTAAAACCTTTCTGATACTGGTACCTAAGCTCAGGTTGGACCCTTCCATCCTTGTCAGACTTTGTTGGTCTTGCGGAATGTGTCCTCTTTCCTTGCTCTTCCTCGCACTCTTCCCTGCACCCTCCATCTTCCCAATAAACCCTGTCATTTGCACTGCCGGTTCTCTCCCCTGAGTACCGAAAGGAGTAACCTATCAAGCCTTTGCTGGAGGATGTTATAAATGAAAATTTTGCCAACATTCCATCCACTTTGCCAACAGGACATGGTGATTTGTGTTCCTTAGAATATTCTAGAGCTGCAATTCCACTATTATGAGAGCTAGTTCAGCACTCTAACGTCAACCTATCATTAAAAAGCCAGCAGATAGGAGGAACGATACTTGTGGGGTGACGAACAGGTCATCCAATCAAAGTGAAGATCAGTGTGTTCGTATGCGTGTGTGTACGTACCACAACTCTTCCACATATTTTCCCCCTGACCCCTCCCTAAACTGACATATCAACAGAAACCTCCCTGACAAAGGCCAGCAAATGCAAATAGTTCTCCCTTTTGTAGAGGGAGGAACTCAATGTTTTTATTGTTGTGCTGGCCTGATTTTTACAATATTTCCCAATCACTGATTTCCCCATTGACATAGTAATTGCATATATTGTATAGATTAAATCCTTCTTGCAATGCTATAGAATCCAACTTCCCTTGAATATTGAAGAAAGTACAGTCCTATCATTATGACAATTTATATGTATGACAATTATTGGCTATTTTTCTAAAACTTAATTGCTAAATGGATTTTCCTCATGAGATGTATATTTGATCCTTTGGGGTCAATGTAATATCAGTTAAGCCTCTCTAACAAATGAACATAACACACATCACCAGTTCAGTTCCAAAGAGTGATATAGGAATCTATAAATTTTACATTTACAAGGTCCTGCAACGAAGGCGTTGTAAGTTACTCTTTCTGGGCACCGCAGGTTCGAGCAGCACCGACGTAAAGGAAAACCGTAACCTGGACAACGTCTCCTCCAAAGTGGGGGAGGCTGTGGCTGAGCAGCTCCCCAACGGCAGTGGCGGGGGCAGCAGGAAGCGCCCCTTAGAGGAGGGAAACAATGGCCACACGCACTCCAAGTTCCGGGCCAAGAAGCGTAAGAAAACGCCAGGCCCGGTTCTACCCAAGAATGCCCTTATGCAGCTGAATGAAATTAAGCCGGGGCTGCAGTATAAGCTGCTATCTCAAACAGGTCCGGTCCACGCTCCCGTGTTTGTCATGACCGTCGAGGTCAATGGGCAGCTGTTCGAGGGCTCAGGTCCCACCAAGAAGAAGGCCAAGCTGAATGCGGCAGAGAAGGCACTGCGCTCCTTTGTCCAGTTCCCCAACGCCTCCGAAGCGCACCTGGCTATGGGCCGGACACTGACAGTCAACACAGACTTCACGTCCGACCAGGCCGACTTCCCAGACATGCTCTTCAACGGGTTTGAGACGCCTGCACCGCCCGAGGACTCCTTTTACCTGGGCTCCAATGGCAGCAGCTCCTTAAACTCACTGGGAGAGTACTCCATGCCTTCCACGCCAGGTGCTAACCTAGCCCAGGCCTTGTTGCCCCCTCCCTCGTCCTTCACCTCGCCCTCGAGCGGCAAGAACCCTGTCATGATCCTCAACGAGCTGAGGCCAGGCCTCAAGTATGACTTTGTATCCGAGAGCGGCGAGAGCCATGCAAAGAACTTTGTCATGCAAGTGTTGGTGGACTCGCAGCAGTTCGAAGGCTCTGGACGAAACAAGAAGCTGGCCAAGGCCCGGGCTGCCCAGGCAGCCCTCTCAGCCCTCTTCAACATGCAGCTGGACCAGACGCCTTCCCAACAGCCCATCCCCAGAGAGGGACTGCAGCTCCACCTACCCCAGGTAAGATCCCAAACCTAGGTCCCTCTGAACAAGCCCACTCTGCCACCAGTCAATACCCTTTTAGAACAGGTTATAGCACCAAAATTGTATCTGCACTCACTGACTGTGAAAAAACCAATGTGAACCGTTTTTAATAGGGATGAGTGATATGCTTTATACTCTACATGTAATGTTTTCAGGTGCTGAACAAAGGAATCACAGCACTTATGCCCTCAAGCACAAAGGTCTAACACCCTAGAGTCCAAAACAGAGCTTCCCCAGAAAGTATGCCTTCTCTGTGATACATTATGGATAGCCAAAACACTTATGCAAGGCTTTCTCAAACTGTTGTAATTTAGTATTTTGAATTATGGGAGTGCATTAAATATTTATAAATATCCAGATGTTTTGGTCAAAGAAACCCATCTGCTGAGAGTTTGAGAATAGTTCTTTATTACGTTGTAAACTGGGGAAACGTTCAATTAGCTTATGTGGTTTTAAAGCTGAGGACACAGAGGTATTTTCACCACTGGAGTTAACAATATCTCCTCTCTTTTAATCACAATGTCTACGACCTTATCTAAAGACCTTCAGTATCAGTCATATACTACCTCATATTTTGAAGTATTTTCTTTATGAAAGTCCCCACTGGAACAATTAACGCTCCTGCCAATCAACGCTGGGTTTGAGACATTAATTGAAAATTAAGATGACATGATCAGGCCTAAAGCATGATTGAAGATGAGACAGGATATGAAAATGTGAGGTGCTTTAGTACTGAGATGATGTGAGACATCTATTTACACTTCTCTTAGCTCCCCTAATCGCCAGCTGATAACACCAGGAAATAGCGTGCCTCTATCTTAATTTACATCTCCTTTTTTAGTCTTGTTGAAACAACCACTATTGACTGTCCAGGCTCTTTCCTACCTAGATGTGAGACCTATTTCATTGAAGCACTCAGTGTAAACCCAGCCTTACAGGTGCTCAAAGAAGGTATCCCTTTCAAAAGCCTGCTCTTTTTAAAGACTCAATAAAGCTTGGTTCAGTTTGATAAGAATTGGTGGTGAGGGTGGGGATTGGTCATCACAGAAGTGACTGTCAGTCCTGCCGGTGTGTGCAGAGAGTGCAGTCTAGACAGGTAAGCAGCTAATGGGGCACACTGTCAATGGCTTCCATTGTCTTTTCTCACCAGGAACATTTCGCACTTTCCTTTTTTTACTCTCCCTCCACTTGCCATCAGCCTGCTTCCTTCAAACAGGCAGCTCATGTCAACGATACTGCACCTGCTAATTGGTCTATTAATTCTGTCGGTTAATATTTATTAAATTTACCATCAACCCAGCTGAAGCGGGCGCTCCATATGGACGGGGCTAATTAGAAAATCAGGGAAACATGAGTGATAGAATACTCTGTTTTTTATTGCCAGACTGGAATTGCCTCATTGTTTTTGGCAGGCTGTTTGGTTCCCAAAGGATAACACAGACGTCCACACGTTTCTGCGCTGCCTACAACCAACCCACGGAATTCAGAAGTCAAATTATTCCCTTCCAACTGGGTGACTCTGACGTACCGGGGAAGTGATATTTGGACTAATCTCGTTAATTTGTGCTTATTCAGCCGTTGTCTCTCCTTGGTTGTAATCATTTTCAGCATTTAATAACACTAATCAAAATATTTACTGGAGTTTTTTACCAGAATAGACAAACACCATTTCTTTATACAATCAGCATTTAACAACACATCAAAATGTTTACAAACATAATGAGAATGATCATGAAAAGGTAGGAAATAGAATGTAAGACCAGAAGTGAAGACCTCGAGATCCTGAACATTAAATTATGTTATACTCTGTCTGTGATCAAAGTATGTTGTGGCTTTTTGAATGTTCACGCCGCATGAAGGAGAAAATGGCTGTTTCTGGTTAATTTGGGGTTCCTCCTTCAGGTTGCTCCTTTGGTCCTGAGTTGGTGTCCTTATGCTTGTTGCTCTTCTGTTGGTTCCTTGCTTGAGTTGCAGAGGCTCTGCTCTAATTGTCTTCTTTTTTTCTAGAAGGTGGTAAGCTTAAAATTGTCCTCCAGCAAAAACAAAGTCAACTTTTACTGTTGAAAAGTGATATCCCAAGTATAAATACAGTTAATTACCTACACTAAAGTTTTTTTTTAGACAACTGCAAACTTCAAGGAGTAGGGCATTCAAGGAGTTGGTCTGATGTGAATCCGTGATGTCATCAGCTTCCCCACTTGATTGAGCAGGATGAAATGAGCAGGATAAACTAATCCCAAACAGGCAACCTCTACCTGAAGCCTGTGGTTGTTGTTGCGTGTCTCATCTCTGCTGTGTGTGTGCGGTCCCAGGTCCTCGCCAACGCAGTCTCTCGCCTGGTTGTGGACAAGTTCAGTGAGCTGACGGACAACTTCACCTCCCCCCACGCGCGGCGGAAAGTCCTGGCAGGGGTCGTCATGACAACAGGTACGCTTTGTTACTAAGTCTAATGGAAAAACACTGCGTTCTCCACTTTTGGGAAGCGTTGCTGCTGCCAAACGGTACACCACTAGATTTGTACAGACCATAAAAACCCAGCCAAGAGGCAGAAGTGTATCGATGGGAGGAAATGAAGCTTCTTAACCACATGATGGGTGGGATTAGCACAACCTCTCAATCATTGTGCACATCAAAGTTTTCCTTTTGAGTTTGTGGGTCAATGTCCATGATTGATAGTGCACGATGCTGCTGGTCATCATTGGCTTTGTAAGCCAAATTTCCTATTCACAATTTTTTGGGACAAATACACACGTGCATATTCGTATGAATACCTAAGAAACTATAGTGCATTCAGAAAGTATTCATAACCCTTGACTTATTCCGCATTTTGTTGTTACAGCCTGAACTCAAAATAGATTAAATCGATTTTTTTCTTACCCATTTACAAACAATACCCCATAATGACAAAGTTAGAACATGGTTTTAGAAGAAAAGTAAAATATGTATTGATCATTAAATGCATAAATATCTAATTTACATAAGTATTCACACCCCTATGAGCTCAGGTGCATCCAATTTCCTTTAATCATCCTTGAGATGTCACTACAACTTGATTGGACATGCACTGTCTACCTGTGTACAATTCAATTGTTTGGACATGATTTAGAAAGAAACGCAGCTGTCTAGATAATGTCCCACAGTTGACAGTGCATGTCAGAGCAGAAACTATACCATGAAGTCCAAGGGACTGTTCATAGATCTCCGAGAGAATTGTGATAAGCCATATATGTGGGGAAGGGTATAAAACCATTTCTGGAGTGTTGAAAGTTTCCAAGAGCACAGTGGTCTCCATTATTGGGAAATGGAGAAAAAAATTGGAACTACCCTGATTCTGCCTAGAGCTGGCCTTCCGACCAAACTGAGCAACCGGGCAAGAAGGACCTTGTTCACGGAGGTGACCAAGAACCCAATGACCACTCTGACAGAACTACAGAGTTCCTTGGCTGAGATGGGAGAACCTGCCAGAAGGATAAGTCTCTACAGCACTTCACTAATCTGGGCTTTATGGGAGAGTGGCCAGACGGAAGCCACTCCTGAGAAAAAGGGACATGACATCACATTTTTTTACATTTACATTTTTAGTCATTTAGCAGACACTCTTATCCAGTGCGACTTACAGATAGTGAGTGCATACATTTTTATACTGGCCCCCCGTGGGAATCGAACCCACAACCCTGGCGTTGCAAGCGCCATGCTCTACCAACTGAGCTACACGGGGGGACATCACGCCTGGAGTTTGCAACAAGGCACGTGAAAGACTGATAGCCCAAGGCAAAATATTCTGTCATCTGATGAGACAAAATGTAACTCTTTGGCCTGAATGCTGTCTGGAGAAAATCAGGCACAGCTCATCACCTGTCTAACACCATCCCTACTGTGAAGCATGGTGGTGGCAGCATCATGCTATGGGGATGCTTTTCAGTGGCAGGGACTGGGAAACTGGTAAGGATAGAGGGAACAATGAATGGAGCCAAATACAGGCAAATCCTTGATGAGAACCTGCTTCAGAGTGCAAACTACCTTAAACTGGGGCAAAGATTTCCGTTCCAACAGGACAAAGACCCCAAGCATACAGCCAAAGCAATGCTGGAATGGCTTCAGAACAATAATGCGAAAGTCCTTGAGTGGCCCAGCCAAAGCCCAGGCTTGAATCCCATAAAATATTGATTGCTGTTCACCGCCGCTCCCCATCTAATGTAACAGAGCTTGAGAAAAACTGCAAGGAAGAATAGGAGAAAATCCCCAAATCCAGATGTGCAAAGCTGATTCAGACATACCTAAGACGACTCAAAGCTGTAATCGCCACCAAAGTTGCTTCTACAAAGTATTGACTCGGGTGTGAATGCCAGTGCTGAATTTGTAAATCGGGAGGTCCCGGAACACATAGTGAGCGTGAGAAGGAGGGTTATCCGAGGGGCTCTGAGGTACCGGTGTCAAACACAACGTAGCAGCGCGGCAGACAGAGTAAACAGCCAAGTAGCCTACTGTCTATGGTGGTAGCACTCTCCAAGGTGCTGATTTAATTCAAAGCATTTTAGACGTCACTGCAGTATGCCCACATACTTGAGTATAGCTGCGGGGCTTACACAAGTCCGAATTTCTTATAGCCTAATTTTCTAGACATCAATATAGAGCAACATTCTTAGACACTGCAGAACACCCGCCATATGCATGCATACATACATACTCAGCTGTGGGGCTTACAAGACCCGAATTTCATATAATTTAAGACATGTAGCAGTAGAACAAATATCACTTCAAATAAAATTAAATAAAAAAATTACGTCTGAGGCATAGGATGTTAACCTACTGTACATTCCACCCACTCTTTTGCTAGTTGAATCCCTCCAGTTGTTTCTAGACCCAAGCGCCCTACCTTTTTGCATGTTGTACAGCCCAACTTTGAATTCTGCAAATTGCACCTGCTCCGAGCACTTCATCAGTGGATGCACTGAACCCCTCTCCCCCAGATCCCCGTCTCCCGCTGAGTCTGACTCGCTAGTATGCCTACTAGCTAGTGGAGGTGCCGGTGGTGACGCTGAACTGGTGGGATTAGCAGCGCTGCTAGCTAAGGCATCGCCATCAGGAACAGTTTGCCCCTCACTCCTCTCCTCCGGCAATGACAGTTCTCTGGCTCGTTCTGGGTTCGATTCACCATCTTTCTCTGGATTTTTTGACTTCATGTCATCAAACTCGATTTCCTTTTCTTATCCATTTTTTATTTGACTTTCCCACGATTCAAATTCAGTAGGAAGACGATATGTGACGTGATTACATAGGGACCTCTTCACTAGCTGACCACCACTACCAAGACCTGTGTCAAGATCAGTTACTTACAACACCGGCCCTTCCTATAACATCTATGTACAAATAAGAGAGCAGGTCTGGAATCAGTGTGGCAAGATGGGATGATTTCACAGAAGGATCACCGCGCTTTTACATGATGGTCTTTCTGGGGGCCGGGAGAAATAACGAGAAGGCAACTTGATTTAACGCTGATCGCTTTTATTAGAATGTCTACAGTGCGAACAGTGAAACAATTAATAAATCATGCCGCGACAGGTACCGGATCCGGGCAAATAGGTGCCGGAACAAACAAAGTCAAATCTGAGAGGTGCCGGATCCTGTTCAAATTAAGCACTGTTGAATACTTATGTAAATTGGATATTTCTGTATTTCATTTTCAATACATTTGCTGAAATTTCTAAAAACATGTTTTCACTTTCTCATTATGGAGTATTGTGTGTAGATGGGTGAGGAAAAAAATCAATTTAATACATTTTGAATTCAGGCTGAAACACAACAAAATGTTGATTAAGTCAAGGGGGTGTGAGTACTTTCTGAAGGCGCACTGTACATGTCCCTTATCTAAAATACAATAAAATGTAAATGAAATGGGATAATAGAAAAGTAAAAACCATCAACACAAATGGCTTTTATTGAATGTAATGGTGAATTTTGAGCCTCTCTGTTCCCTACCCCCAGGCACGGACGTGAAAGAGGCCCAGGTGATCTGTGTCTCCACGGGCACCAAGTGCATCAACGGCGAGTACATGAGTGACCGCGGCCTGGCGCTCAACGACTGCCACGCAGAGATTATCGCCCGCCGCTCGCTCATCCGGTACCTCTACGCCCAGCTGGAGCACTTCCTAAGGTGAGAGGTCAAGGGGTGAAGGCAATGGCAGAGGCCGTTGAAAACACAAACGCACACAATGACTCCCATTTTGATTGGAGTTTGTTCGTTGTAGCTAACCTTTCTTGGGTCATGAAGTCATAGTCCTGGATTTGTATTTAGTTGTAAAATCAAGTCCACTGTTGCATAACTTTTTCTATATGCTGTAATGGTTGCAAATAGTTTATTCAATTGCAACATGGCATTCCTTTTTTGTTCTTGCTTCAGCTGATTATTTTAGTAGTTTTTGTTTTCTGTGAAATTTGGTCCCACTGCCCACCCTTTACTGTCCCCTTTTTTTCACCCTCTGTTACCTAGCAACAACAAGGAGGAGCAGCAGAAGTCTATATTCATGCGCTGCGACAAGCGTGGCTACCGACTAAAGGACAACGTCCAGTTCCACCTCTACATCAGCACCTCGCCCTGCGGAGACGCACGCATCTTCTCACCGCACGAGGCCGGCATGGAAGGTATGAGGCACTGCTCCTTACCATATGACAGTAAGAGATGTGACCAAGCCTCTTGCTGACCCTTCTGTGCCACCATGTACAATGATGGCATGATTCCTGTCTTCTTCATCAGATGCATATGTCTGGCTATCCAGCGCCTGCTTAATGCTTTTAGATGTGAATGGAGATGTGAATGCGTTCTGCCCTTAAGTTTATATGAAGCCTAGTTATCGGTTACTAGGCAGACCCTATGTTAATTTGTGATGCACAGTCATATAAACCCAGAACAACATTTCTGATCATAAACTTCTTGTTCTTAAGTTAATGCAATTCGCTGAACTATCTCTTTAATGCAAGTGAAAAAGAGCGCCACCAAGTGGTGTTAGACTCCGAAGGAGGTGCCAATTTAAGATTTTAGATTTTAGTCATTTAGCAGACGCTCTTATCCAGAGCGACTTACAGTTAGTGAGTGCATACATAAAAATATTCATACTGGCCCCCCGTGGGAATCGAACCCACAACCCTGGCGTTGCAAACGCCATGCTCTACCAACTGAGCTACATCAACTGAGGTACAACTTCCCCGGCTTCCCGGTTAGAGGACGTAGAATGACCGGTAGGAGACAGATACACAGTTCAAACATTTATTACGACACTCAAGACAAACGCACAGCAAACAAGAAGGAGTAATAGTGGAAGTGAATAGTAATAGTGGTTTTCTCTGGAACAGAAGGAAATACAAAACATGTATTACATGGCGGTAATAGCAGGCTAACGACTAATAGCAATGCTAACAGTCAGGCATGTGCACAGATAGGACTATACCTGTGCAGAGCACATACCTCTTTGCCCTTCTGATCTCAAGTGCTCTTTTGGATGGTAGTATTTTCCATATACATTTTTGGTGATTTGTTGTTCTGAACTCATTGCCTGCAAATCGTCAAATGTCAAATTTGGCTATTGATAAGTGCCTAAATTGGAACACAGTGGCTGTACAGTAACATGCTATACATGACGTCAGACCTCAGGTTCTCCGCTTCACAGCGCTGTATGGGTTTTGACTGACAACCGTTCTAAACTTGAGCACTGCGCGCGACAAGAAGATGCCCAAATGCCTCCCGCTAATTGGGCTACTTTTGAGCATTTGTTGTCTGTTAAAAGATGAGATGTTAAGGATTATAATAAATACTGCTTTGATGAAGCAAACCACACTGCCGTGAGTCCAAATTTGCACCTCACATTTCCGTATTTAAAAACTCATGTCATTTACAGTATCAACATTTTATGATCACTATGTTTGATCTAGAGTGACAAGGATGAAGGGTGGTATCCAGATTTTCATATTGTCATACCGTCCTTCCCTCACCATGGGATTTACGGTATTACCGGCTAAGTACACAACAGGGCACCCCTAAAAAAATCTAAAGCCCATTGAGCGTCTATTACCAGAATGCTAACAAAATTGGCACAAGTTATAGTGAATTTCCATGGAAGGTGCTAGCTAAATATGCTAATGAGCGCAAATGAAAATAAACTAATTGCAAAGATGGGCAATTCAGCTCATAAAGTCTGGACATTTTACAAGCAAATGTGAACGAGAGACGTTGAGCAAATTAACAAAGTTTTGACGCATGCTTGTCTGTAGGAATAACAGTACTTGCTCTCCAGCAGCATGTCTACAAGCTGTGTCTGTCTGGAGTCGCTAGGGCAACGGGCCTGCCTGCTCTGTTCGGAGAAGAGGGGGGAGGAGCAGACAGGTCGAGAACAGAGATAGCTGTAAAAATAACTCATCCAAAGTGTTTTGACTTCTCAAACATGGCAGAAAGCTAACACAATATGATGCCCCGTCACCTTATTAATTCATCCACTTACTTAGATAGAAAAGTAAACTTCGAGGTCGTGTTAATGCAGAAATCTGCATTTTTCACGCGGGGGGAAAAAAGATAAAACGCATCAGAAATATCTTGTCGCGTTTTGTAAATGCAGATCTAAAATACTTCTTATTGTAACTGCTGCTCGGCATCAGACTAATTTTGTGCCTCAGTTGCACTTCTAAACTCGGATGAGAATTCACGAATGGGCATTCTATCAGCAGACAGTGCTCTGACTGATGTGGAGCTACTTTTCACGGTGTAGCCAGCCTATTTTTCTTTGTAAAGTGCAAGATTACCTTTAAGCAAAACATTGGGAAATGTAGCTGGCTGCATTCTTTCTATGATAGGCTTAAACATTAGACCATGATGGCCATGCATCGTTTTTGCAAAAAATACCTTTCTTTTTCATTGTAAAATAGCATTTCACTTCTGTTGTCATCTAATGAAAATGAAGCTATTTTATGCCGGATGTGTTGCACTAATGTATTTTCTTTGAAGGAAAATGTTTTATATATTGTGGAAAACCGTGGGGTGTTGTTGGGTTGAGCGCACAGGGATGGACACAGAGGGTGGTTCAAGTCAGAACACGACTTTACTAGGCAACAAAAAATAAACATAACAACAAAATGACTTAGGGTTGGCTTGGTTCTTCTTCTCATATTCATCTCCGTGCATCCGGGAGCTTCGTTCCATCTGTAGGCTCACTCCTCGCCGCTCTCTTTTTCTCCCAGGATACCACAATAAATATATATATATATATATATATATGTAATTATTTACCTTTATTTTATCAAGGAGTCCTACATAAATTACAGAAAATAAACACATCAAAATATAAATGCAAGCAGAAAGAAAAACATGGTCTTTAAAAAAAGAAAAATCTGTAATAAGGTCCTCAATCAGCTTTCTGAATTGCCCTAGAGGCAGCAGAACAGCAAATGTAAGAACGTTTTGAAGATTGTTCCGCAAATAAGGTGCAAGAAAACTAAAAGCTGATTTACCTAACTCAGGAGAGACCAAAGGAATTAGCCATCCCTGAGACCGGGTGTGGTAACTCATGTCTCTAAAGTTGAGTAATGATGTTAGGTACAGTGGGACTTTTTGTAAAAGGGCTTTATAAATGAAAACATTGAAATGTATCAACCTATGTGACATCAAAGAGGGCCAACCAACTTTCTGGTAGAAAATGCAGTGATGAGTACTAAAATTGTCGGCCGTAATAAAGCGCAGTGCGCTATGATAAAATGCATCTAACAGCTTTAATGAAGTGGCAGCTGTGTTCATATAGATGATGTCACCATAGTGTAGGACCGATAGGAACGTCGACTGAATAATCTGCTTTCTACTATTTAGCGAGAGACCGGACCCATTTTTATTCTCAGCTTAACTAACTCATCAATATGCTTTTTAAAAGACAGCTTTTCATCTATCTAGATGCCCAGATATTTGTAAGCACGGACACGATCAAAATGGACACCATCCAAAGTACATATGCTTAAATTAGACTTATTTTTATGCGATCTAGAGAACAACATATACTTAGTTTTACCTGCATTCAGTACTCATTTCAGGTCAATTCAGTTTTTATGTAATACAATGAAGGCAGACTGTAGTTCGGATAGACCCTGGTCAACCGTTGGGGCAATAGCATACACCACAGTATCATCAGCAAGTGCAGGTTACAATTTTTTTTCTCGATAATTTGATATTGTTAATGTAAAAAGTACAGGACCCGGAATCGACCAGTGTGGGATAACTTTCGGAATATCCAGTAGATATACAGTACCAGTCAAATGTTTGGACACCTACTCATTCAAGGGTTTCTCTTTATTTTCACTATTTTGTACATTGAAGAATAATAGTGAAGACATCAAAACTATGAAATAACATCATGTAGTAACCAAAAAAAGTGTTAAACAAATCAAAATAAATTTTATATTTGAGATTCTTCAAATAGCCATCCTTTGCCTTGATGACAGCTTTGCACACTCTTTGCTTTTTCTCAACCAGCTTCACCTGGAATGCTTTTCCAACAGTCTTGAAGGAGTTCCGACACATGCCGAGCACTTGTTGGCTGCTTTTCCTTCACTCTGCGGTCCGACTCATCCCAAACCATCTCAATTTGGTTGAGAGCCGGTGATTGTGGAGGCCAGGTCATCTGATGCAGCACTCCATCACTCTCCTTCTTGGTAAAATAGCCATTACACAGCCTGGAGGTGTGTTGGGTCATTGTCCTGTTGAAAAACAAATGATAGTCCCACTAAGCCCAAACCAGATGGGATGACGTATCACTGCAGAATGCTGTGGTAGCCATGCTGGTTAAGTGTAAATAAATGACAGACAGTGTCACCAGCAAAGCAACCCCACACCATAACACCACCTCCTCCATGCTTTATGGTGGGAACTACACATGTGGAGATCATCCGTTCAACCACACCGCGTCTCACAAAGACACGGCGGTTTGAACCAAAAATCTCCAATGTGGACTCCAGACCAAAGGACACATTTCCACCGGTCTAATGTCAATTTCTCGTGTTTCTTGGCCCAAGCAGGTCTCTTCTTATTATTGGTGCTCTATGAAGCATTTACTTGGACTGCAATTTCTGAGGCTAGTAACTCTAATGAACCTGTCCTCTGCAGCAGAGGTAACTTTGGGTCTTCCTTTCCTGTGGCGGTCCTCATGAGAGCCAGTTTCATCATAGCGCTTGATGGTTTTTGCGACTGCACTTGAAGAAACTTTCAAAGTTCTTGAAATGTTCCGTATTGACTGACCTTCGTGTCTTAAAGTAATGATGGACTGTTGTTTCTCTTTGCTTATTTGAGCTGTTCATGCCATAATATAGACTTGGTATTTTACCAAATAGGGCTATCTTCTGTATACCACCCCTACCTTGTCACAACACAACTGATTGGCTCAAACGCATTAAGAAGTAAATAAATTCCACAAATGAACTGTTAACCAGGTACACCTGTTATGAAATGCATACCAGGTGACTACCTCATGAAGCTGGTTGAGAGAATGCCAAGAGCGTGCAAAGCTGTCATCAAGGCAAAGGGTGGCAATTTGAAGAATCTCAAATATAAAATATATTTGGATTTGTTTAACACTTTTTTTGGTTACTACATGATTCCATATGTGTTATTATTCTTCAATGTACACATTTTTTAAAATAAAGAAAAACCCTTGAATGAGTAGGTTTGTCCAAACTTTTGACTGGTAGTGTACATTGAGTTTTATTTGTCAAGTAATTGCACATCCCTGAGCACTCTATTGAAGTAAAAAAACAGACGTGACTGGCTCAACTACATAAGCGTCATAATGTAAAATAATGTGACAGTTGAAATGAAGAACACAATCATCTTTATCTCCTAACGAATTGCAGAAGTTGACTGCAGGTATTTACTTAAAAAATAGCTACAAATATTAAAATGTATTGAAGACTTCAAATAAATTGTTTCAACGGTAGTGAAAAACCATCCCGTGGCTGTTGGCTATAGAATGCGTTTTAAAATGCAAATAGTCCGGGTAGCCATGATTAGCTGTTCAGGAGTCTTATGGCTTGGGGGTAGAAGCTGTTAAGCTTTATGGACGTAGACTTGGCGCTACGGTACCGCTTGCCGTGCGGTAGCAGAGACAACAGTCTATGACTAGGGTGGCTGGAATCTTTGACAATTTTTAGGGCCTTCCTTTGACACCGCCTGGTATAGAGCTCCTGGATGGCAGGAAGCTTGGCCCCAGTGATGTACTGGGCCGTACGCACTACCCTCTGTAGTGCCTTGCGGTTGGAGGCCGAGCAGTTGCCATACCAGGCGGTGATGCAACCAGTCAGGATGCTCTCGATGGTGCAGCTGTATAAACTTTTTGAGGATCTGAGGACCCATGCCAAATCTTTTCAGTCTCCTGAGGGGGAATAGGCTTTGTCGTGCCCTCTTCACGACTGTCTTGGTGTGTTTGGACCATGATAGCTTGTTGGTGATGTGGACACCAAGGAACTCTCAGCCTGTTCCACTACAGCCCTGTCAATGAGAATGGGGGCGTGCTCAGTCCTCCTTTTTACCCTGTAGTCCACAATATTCTTATCATGTTACTGAATTTATTCAGAGGATTTTCAGATTTTGTTATCAACAAATGCGGCGAAAAGTACAGTAAATGTGAAATGCATATAAAATCAAGTGTAATATTTGTATTCAGTCTTGTCAGGTGAACTGTTGTGTCCTCACCTTTTAGTCTAATAATTTTCCCATAATCTCCAAACTGTTCCCTTTTAATTGCTACCATGGTTATGTATATGCTTTCCATATTTCTTCTGTAAGAAACATTTCAATTTAGCCTAATCCATATAGGCAAATTCCCACGAGTGTAAGGGGTTAAATGCTGCTGCTAAGTGAACATGTACATATAGGGCTGTCCCCTTTGGTGACATCATATGTTTAGTGACCTTTGACAACCAGAGTCAATCAACCTCAGCTTCGGGTCAGAGTCTCCATTCCCCTCACTTAGCTGGCTGACACATTTTTTAATCAAATTTTACGCTTGTTGAGAATTCAATATCAGAGCTTGTTTATTTTATTCAATTAATTTTTGTATGTTTTCCTCTTATGCTTGGTTTCGTTTAATTAGGATTTCACATTAATTAGTGGGTCTGTTTCTCTCCCTCTCTCTCTTTGCATCTCTCTCTCTCTCCTTTCTCTCTCCTCTCTCTTCTCCTTTCTCTCTCTCTCCTTTCTCTCGCTCTTATGTCTCTCTCTCTACCCCGCTCTCTGATTACTCACCCTCTTTATGTCACCAAAATTATTCTGTCACAATGTTTCCCTGCATTCAGAGAAACACAAAAGGAAATACTCTTGTACAATTAGTCAGTGAGTTGATTAGGCCTGCTGGCGTTTTGAATTAGATTCCAATATTTAGAAATGCTTTGATTAATACAATGAAGTTGTATTTAAAGTTGTATTTTGTATCCTTTGCACTGTTGAGATGATTTGGTGTCATGCCCTAGAGGACCACAATGGAAACAAGTCTCTTGACTTTTTTGTGTATGTATCCTCGACAATTGTATCTATATGTATCTGTTGCCTGGTGTAACATTTTATGTATTTTAAATTGTCAAATAAAATAAAATCTACTGTGTAAGTGTACATGTTGCCAGGATTGCATACATATTGGTGGTACTGACCCTTAATAGCTTATTGACAGCATCCAAGTTAATTGATTTTGTGTGATCCATTTTAAAGGCAAAATCAGATACATTAATTCATGGTCTGAAAGCAACTGGTTTAGGATTAATCCATCGGTCTTGTACTTGTCCCCCCTCCCACAGACCAAGGCGACCGACACCCCAACCGGAAGGCGCGGGGCCAGCTGAGGACCAAAATAGAGTCTGGGGAGGGGACCATCCCTGTGAGGACCAGCAACACCATCCAGACATGGGACGGGGTGCTGCAGGGAGAGAGGCTGCTCACCATGTCCTGCAGTGACAAGATCGCAAGGTAACCTGGTCGTTGTGGCCCCTTTTGGTATCTCTTTCACCAAATATCCTCCCCCAAAGCCAACAAGATTGTGATACACCATGTAGTATCGATAAGTGGTGTGGTCCAGGTTGTTTCAATTGAGGAATTGAATTGGACTCCAATTCTTGCCCATTACTTACTTAATCCTTACTGTCAGTAAGCTCTTCTTGTGGTCGATACAGCTATATTTTATGGCCTACTTGTATGAACCATAGTTAGGCTACTAGTATCTGTGTAAAGATGTCCGTTAAGTTGCTGTAAGTACAGGTTGGGCAATTCACCCATAGGGCTACGGTGATGTCAGCCAGTGTGTGCTGTGGTGATGGCATGGTAATAGAGCTAGCAGTGTCAAGCCTAATGACCCACATACACACAGTCTTCCTTCAGTGTGCCGTGGCTTATCTTCTACTCCTACCCCTACAGAACTTCACCTACACACACACACACACACACACACGCATGTGCGCACACACACATAATGCAATGATGTAGAGTATCTATCAGCCACTTCCACCCATTTAGCAGACTCTGCGTTGCTTCTTTAATGCATTGGAATAGATTAATACATGATTAATTGTGATTTGGTTTGAAATACTGTTTATGTATGAGTTATACTTCTTTAATTGCAATTCTTTTGTGTGTTTTCAGCTAGTTTTGTTTAGATTGGCCTGTGATACAATGCAGAAATTTCTGCCAATGCGTAAGAACAAAAATAATATTGTAAAAATGAATAATGGAGGATTGCAAAATTGCGTAGTGGGCTGGTTTTCTAGAGCAGTTAGTCTTTGTTTTATATGTGATAGCACTTAGTTGCTAGGCGTTATCCTGTATATCTCACTTCAGTCAGGCCCAGTCTCATTTGATTCAGGCAAATCGATGAATCGATGGGGTCCAACCCAGGTATTTTCACAGGCAGCCCACACGGCCCTGCTCACTGTCCACAGTCAAGGCAAAGCTATCTATCCCTCCCCGTTGATGTATGATGCAATCAACTCCCTAACTCTCCCTCCTAGTCCCTTCCTCCAATTTCAATGCCAACAGGAGTGTCACACGCCTAATGTTTTTGAACATGCAATAATGGCAGTCGATATTATTATACTATGTAACACAAAGATCTGAGTCAAAGGAAAACAAGATGACAGTATACAGGTAGCATGTGCACTAACCTAGCGTATAGCCTGATTTTAGAGCAAGGCATAGAAAGTGTCTTAACAGAACAGGCTCACCCGCCAGTTCTCTACACAACACATCCTCTCCCAACATGACCATGGCAGCAAAAAGGAAAGAAATGCACTTCCAACCATCTCCGAATGAATGATTAATGACTCGGCAATGGCCATTTAGCTAAATGAACTAGCGTTGTTTCACCTAGCCCTCATTGTTCTTTCCCTGTGGTTTGTGTTTTTTTACACCATTCTCCTTTGATTAACTGGCCTGGCGCTAAGGCATTATATGGAGGCCTAGGTCTTCCTGTTCCCAGCAAGTTAAAGGGCCTCATTAGAAGTGTTACTCTCCAGAGTTGTTTTTTTCTTTTGAAAAAGCAACTGATTGTGACGGCATTCAAAGTCCCAATCACTTGAGCTTCATCACCACTCTCCGTTAGCACACTCAAGTGTGGGTCTGTGTGCATGCACGCGAGTGTGCATGTGCACACAGAGCGGTGATATTTGTGTCTGATTTTAGGTTCTTTGATTGTGCTCCCCAGAACCTCCATGGCCACTGGGGGCCAGCTGCTATTCGTAAGGGGCTAAATCATGTTTATCAAGTCAGGTGGATGAGAGGAGGAACAACAGTAATGATACAGTCCAACGATCAACCCCCCCATTGCATATGGAAGATGTCCCTGCTGAGGTCTAATGGAAAACTGGAGGTCTCCTAGCCTTGTCTGACTGCGACTCCAGTCTGTCTTAATTTCACACACTCTCACGCACACTGCCTCAGGTCAGGAGGAGAGCGGAGCAGCAGTTATCAGAGCTGTTTGTCAGGGTCTCGTTTCTGTCGTCTGGTAATGGTATTTTAACTCCCGTCTGCCTTTTGGAAGTCGCCTCTCTCCAAGGCAATTGGCATAAATGCTTCATTGAGAGTGTGGAAGGAAATTGATGGGAAAGATGGCTCTGGTAATGTAACAACACAGAATGTAGAGCGAAAGAAAGGAAATTGGATCGTTCAGAGTGAGTACCCATTCCTAAGTTGTGTGCGTGTGCACGCATTTGTGCGTGTGCACCTTTGTGTGTTTCTGTGTCATTGTGCATGCGTGTGTACTTGTGTATACTAATGCAACATCTCTGTTGCAGATGGAATGTGGTGGGCATCCAGGGCTCTCTGATGAGCTACTTCACAGAGCCAATCTACTTCTCCAGCATCATCCTGGGCAGCCTGTACCACGGCGACCACCTCTCCCGGGCTATGTACCAGCGCATCGCCGACATCGAGGACCTGCCCCAACAGTTCAGCCTCAACAGGCCTCTACTGAGCGGTCAGTACCCTCACCTTTACACCTTGACTTCTTTGCACCCCTAATACTGTAGTGTCTAGACTCTCCTACACTCAGGGCATTGTAAATTGGGACACACAAAGGAATAAAAAAAACATTTTGCAACAGAAAACAACATTCTGTCCAGGTAGTCGCTCCGTGTTAAAGTCTCTCCCCGTTTTCATCTCTTTGGAGTCTAATGAACACGACATGGGCGTAGACTCTCATGCCAATGAAAACACACTACACTAACTCAAGTAGCACCGCATGCATACACGTTCAAACATTCCAATACTTTCAACACTCTTTTTAGGTGGCTAGTTGTCCTCTGTCTGTTTCCTCACACTGTCTCTGTGAACCCTAATAAAACTGGACACTGTGACTCCGTGGGCACAAGGGTAAACACCAATCATGGGTAATCAGATAGGATTAGGGGTTCCCAACCTTTTTTTCCCCCAGAGCCCCCATATTGAGAGAGCCTATATTAAATACCCACCAGCTTGATTTTGTTCAATTTGAGGGAACTAGGAAATGTTCTGTTTTGAAGCTCATTTCCTGCTATTCTATTTAGTTTAACAAGACTCTTGACATCTTTTAGGTAGTCTATTTAACCCTTTACACTCATGGGAATTGGCCTATATGGATAGGGCTAAATGGAAATGTTTCTTACAGAAGAAATATGAAAAGCATATGCATAACCATGGCAGCAATTGAATGGGAACAGTTTGGAGACTATGGGAAAATGATTAGACTTAAGGTGAGGACAACAGTTCACCTGACAGAAGACTGAATCCAAACATTACACTGTTATTTATGTGCATTTTACATTTACTGTACTTTTTTCCGCATTTGTTGATAACGAAATCTGAAAATACTCTGGATACATTCAGTAACATGATAAGAATATTCCTGGAAAATGTGGGATAAGTGCAACATAAGACATCAAAATGACAAGGGTTTGAGTGAAAGGGCTAACTGATGTCTCCAAATGGCCACACTCTTCTCCAAAGTGTGCATAGTTCCTAAGTCATTTTAATGACTTTTTGACTCAAAGAAGATTCTTCAACTATAAGGTGCTTGCTCTCATTGAGGAACTAGAGCAAGTACACGTGTGTGTGTGTGTGTGTGTGTGTGTGTATGTATATATATATATGTATATATATATATATATATTTCTTTTTTTAAACACGACCCTGCATCCCCGCCATCACACAATTACTGTTGTTTAAGCAATCCAAAAACGGTCGATTAGAAATCGCAATCTGGGGGCAGGTGGGCATCATTTGACAGCTTGTTCTATTGCCAACATGACCAGCTAAGTTATAATGCAATTCAGGGAAACCGATCACATACCGAACAAAAATATAAATGCAACATGCAACAATTTCAACGATTCTACTGAGTTACAGTTCATATAAGGAAATCACTCAATTGAAATAAATAAATTAGGCCCTAATCTATGGATTTCACATGACTGGGCAGCCATACTTGAGAAACTGGTGCACCCGCTGTGGAGCAAGGCCTATCCAATCGGAATAACTTTTTCCCCACAAAAGCGCTTTATTACAGTCAGAAATATTCCTCAGTTTCATCAGCTGTCCGGGTGGCTGGTATCAGATGATCCCGCAGGTGAAGAAGCCGGATGTGGAGGTCCTGGGCTGGTCTGGTTACACCTCGTCTGCGGTTGTGAGGCCGGTTGGACGTAGTGTCAAATTCTCTAAAACAACATTGGAGGCGTCTTATGGTAGAAAAATTAACATTAAATTCTCTGGCAACAGCTCTGGTGGACATTCCTGCAGCTCTGGTGGACATTCCTGATATGCCACCCCTGTCAGGTCAAAGGACAAATGCTCACTAAGAGGGATGTAAACACACTTTCTGGGATCTTTTATTTCAGCTCATGAAACATGGGACCAACACTTTACGTGTTGCGTTTATATTTTTGTTCAGTATAATTTTGGTGCGCATAGAATGCTGTCATGAGTGCATTCAGGTGTGTGTGTGTGCCGCGGTGAATTTACTCAAATACAAACAGGAACATTCTGTTCAGAACAACCCAGGGTATGACTCAATGTCATCTTGTAACTGTACATAGTGATCATAAACATTGACACTGTATGACATGAGTTTTATGATATGGAAATGTGAAGTGCACATTTTGACTTAATTTACAGCCAATGCGTTCCAATTTAGGCGTTTATCAGTGCCCAAATCTGCCATTTGCAATCCCGTATACGGGTACGAGTGTGAAGGGCTAATAGTGATGATGGTGAAAGTAAATACAATTAATTTTAGACCTGATTTCCCCAAATGTTATTCTGCTTCCAAATGTTTTATGATAATTTATATGACATTTCTATTTAATTATACATATTCTCTTTTACAGAAAGTGAATAGATCAATTGAGTGACAGTCACATATTGTGAAAGATTACTTCCCAAGCAAAGTACATTTCTTTGACTCCTCGACTTTAGAATGTCATGGCCCAGCTTCTGATTGTCATGAATGCCAAATAAAATATACTCCCATTGTTATGTCACATCTTCCTCTTACTGTTTGTTTCTAGGCTAAAGCATCGCGGAGATATGCATTTTAGATCGGTATAAACAATCGCGAATTGTATATATTTTGGGGGGGGGAGCCCTCAAATCAAAGAAGGTCGGGAATAGGGCTGCACAATTACTGTATAGATGTGTAACCAGGGCCTCCTGAGTGGCGCAGCGGTCTAAGGCACTTCATCGCAGTGCTTGAGGCATCACTACAGACCCGGGTTCAATCCCAGGCTGTGTCGCAGCAGGCCGCGACCGGGAGACCCATGAGGCGGCGCACCATTTGGCCCAGCGTCGTCCGGGTTAGGGGAAGGTTTTGCCGGCCAGGATGTCATTGTCCCATCGTGCTCTAGCGACTCCTTGTGGCGGGCCGGGCACATGCATGCTGACTTCGGTCGCCAGTTGTACAGTGTTTCCTCCGACAAATTGATCCGAAAAAGGGGGTAAAAATATACAAATAAACATGTAACCACCGGTTATGCATGAAAACCGTCCTGAAAATAAAATAACTGTCTAAACAGTTTTTCTGAAAAAAATAAATAAATAAATAATCGTATCTGATATGATTGTCACGGGTCTTGGGTATGTGTAATTATAACTGATTTGCCCATAAGGACCCAGTTAAGACCCAGTAGAGAAAGAGATAAATTATATTTAGGAGACTATCTAATCAATGGATAGGGTGACCACCCACTGCCCAGAGTGGGTGAAAATGCACTTAGGCGTGGAAATTTCACTTCATTATTTATAAAATATTGTTCTGAATCGTTCAGTGGGGTCTTCCGCTTAACATGTCATTAGCTAACATTACATCCAAAAAGTATGATTTCGTAACCTAATACAGTGCATTCGGGAAAGTATTCAGACCCCTTGACTTTATCCACATTTTGTTACGTTAACCTTATTCTAAAATTGATTTAAATAGTTTTTTTCCCCTCATCAATCTACACACAATACCCCATAATGACAAAGCAAAAACAGGTTTTTAGACATGTAAATAAAAGTATTCAGACCCTTTACTCAGTACTTTGTTGAAGCACCTTTGGCAGCGTCTTCTTGGGTATGACACTACAATCTTGGCACGCCTGTATTTGGGGAGTTCCTCCCATTCCTCTCTGCAGATCCTCTCAAGCTCTGTCAGGTTGGATGGGGAGCGTCCCTGCACAGCTATTTCAGGTCTCTCCAGAGATGTTTGATCGGGTTCAAGTCCGGGCACTGGTTGGGCCACTCAAGGACATTCAGAGACTTGTCCCAAAACCACTCCTGCATTGTCTTGGCTGTGTGCTTAGGGTCATTGTTCTGTTGGAAGGTGAACCTTCGCCCCAGTCTGAGGTCCTGAGCACTCTGGAGCAGGTTTTTATCAAGGATCTCTCTGTACTTTGCGCCGTTCATCTTTCCCTCGATCCTGACTAGTCTCCCAGTCCATACCGATGGAAAAACATCCCCAAAGCATGATGATGCCACCACCATGCTTCACCGTAGGGATTGGTGCCAGGTTTCCTCCAGATGTGACGCTTGGCATTAAGGCCAAAGAGTTCAATCTTGGTTTCATCAGACCAGATAATCATGTTTCTCACGGTCTGAGAGTCCTTTTGGTGCCTTTTGGCAAACTCCAATCGGGCTGTCATTTGCTTTTTTACTAAGGAGTGGCTTCTGTCTGGCTACTCTACCATAAAATCCTGATTGGTGGAGTCCTGCAGAGATGGGAGAACCTTCCAGAAGGACATCCATCTCCACAGAGAAACTCTGGAGCTCTGTCAGAGTGACCATCGGGTTCTTGGTCACCTCCCTGACCCAGGCCCTTATCCCCCGATTACTCAGTTTGGCCGGGCGGCCAGCTCTAAGAAGAGTACAAACTTCTTCCATTTAAGAATGATGGAGGCCACTGTGTTCTTGTGAACCTTCAATGCTGCAGACATTTTTCCCCAGATCTGTGCCTCGACACAATCCTGTCTAGGAGCTCTACGGACAATTCCTTCAACCACGTGGATTGGTTTTTGCTCTGACATGCACTGTCTATTGTGGGACCTTACATAGACAGGTGTGTGCCTTTCCAAATCATGTCCAATCAATTCAATTTAAAACAGGTGGACTCCAATCAAGTTATAGAAACATCTCAACGATGATCAATGGAAACAGGATGCACCTGAGCTCAATTTCGAGTCTCATAGCAAAGATTTGGAACCTGAGATACATTGCAGTTTCCATGTGTTCTGTAGCATATACAGACAAAATGTGTTCCCCATTCTATCCGGCTGCCCAAAAAAACCTCCTCCACCTATTGTCAGGGTAGGGGCTAAGGAAGGGTGAGGGTTACTGTTATGGAACCGACTAGACAACCTAATTTTAACACTGGACTCGTTAAGTCTAGGGGTTCTAGGCTTGCTTAATTGTTCTGTAATCTGACTAGGTGTGTGCATAACTGTGAGAAGTAAGTATATGCGACCAGGTGT